GAATGTCTTGAAGCATTTCTTGGAAGAGGAGGATACGTTTCGGTCCGAGGATCGCTTCTCGATGGGTGGACATACCAGCCTTCAGCTGTGCCTCCTCTGGCTCCAGTTCTTTGGCTCTTCTAGCCCATTTCTCAAGGTAAAACTTTCTCTGGGATCTCACCGAACCTGGACGATGTACAAGTTGCTCGATCAACTTCTCTAATGGTTTGTTGCATTTAGACAGCTGATGATAAGGGTGTCCTAGCTTTGCTGCCTTTCCAATAAATTCAATCGGATCCCAAGGAATCCCCACTCTCAGCACTGAGGCACCATCCAGTTGCTGCATTTCCTGCTGAAGCTGCGGGCTCAAGTTCCCCCCTGTCTGAGTCCGCGACAGAAGCTGGGAATCCACCGGCAGGGCGGCCATCCCCGGCAACACTCGGATGCCATCCGGAATCCGCCATTCCTGCTTGAGACGCTTGCATCCTGAGAAAGGGTCCTCAGTCACTGATCTAGGCAGCAGCACATAGACGACCACCTTCCATTCCGGCATGACCTCATTCAAGTGCCCCCGAGGTTGGTGCATGGCCGACACTCGAATGGCCTTATTGGCCAAAGAAGGGTTTTGGCACAGAAGTTTTCTCGCTGTGACGCCAGCCGCGAAGACCTCAGCCAAAGCAGTCGCGAAACCACGGGGGTAGGCCCCTGAGGAGGTCTCCAGTGTTGTCGACTTCCCTGCCGGTTCTCGCCCTTCGCGCCTAACCGTGGTGATTTCAGGAAGGTTCGACATCACAAAACTCCGCTGCTGATTCGCAGGGTCCCAGCATCCCCACTTCACTTCGACCCAATGGGGTGCTTGCTGAGCGTCTGGAAGTTGGTTCAAATTATCCCAAAATGGGGACTTGCAAGAGCCTTCGACCACTAACGGCAAGTCTCTGTCGAGGCATCCACTGATAACCGCGAAAACAAATGCCGCAGAGATAGGGTCCAAGGTGAGCTTTGGTATGCAAATCAGCACCCCCGCAATCTTTCGTTTGTCCAACCAAGTAAGAACAGAATCACAAGCTGTCCTAGAGGACAGGTCCATTTGCAAAACAGGTGCCATAGCGGACTTGTGTTTAACACGATCCACTCCATAAGCAAAATAACCCTGCGCGAGCAGAGCCGCAGCCACACGGGCCTGCCCAGCAAAACATTGAAGGATCGCACGGGTAGGTCCCCCGTGCTGTTCATTCGAGAAAACTTGTTGCGGCTCTGTAGCCGAAGAACACTGCTCGCTCCGAGAAGATGTCTCCTCGCCGGTTTGGAAAACTGGCAGTGTCGTGGCCGACGGCATTGAAGCCATCGAAAAAGTTAAAGAACATTCAATGTCACATTCACAACCTTCGGCAACCCCAACCGCAGATACGGGTTCCAATCCCGCACCTGAAGGTAAGGCCTCCATACCGACCTCCTGGTTCGGAGCAGAGATGACGCCACTAACGGATTCATCCTGAGGAACCATCTCAACATCCTGAGCCAGCGAAGTCTCATCGAGACCAGGATCACCTAGTCACAGCTTTTAGGCTTCAGCGGGCACTTGGTAACCGGGTGGTCACCACCACACTTGTAGATGATGCAACCATGATCACCCCTCTGACAATTGGCGTCCGTGCACCCGCCGAGGTTGAAACTGTAGCAAACCTTGTTGCCCTTCTTGTTCCATGCGGACGCTCCCTGGTAACGTAGGCCCTCGGGTAGCCATTCCGACTTGCCAGCCCCGAAACCTTTCCCTATGCCAGCCTTCTCCTTGCCCTTGGGCGAGGGTTTGCCCTTTCCGGACCATGACTCGAAGCCCCTGGGGCTCCAAAAGGACTTCCCCTTGCCCGGCTTACCTTTGTTCGGAGCATGCTCGTACGGATGACTACGGTTGCCTTTTCCCAATCGCAACTTTCCTCCACCTTCAAAATCCCCCAAAGGAAGGAGCGCAACGATCAAATCGTAATCCTGCAGCACTGAAGAAATCCTGGCATCCAAGGGCAAAGTCCCCGATGCGTCTGCACGAACCTCTGCTCCTGCCTCGGACATCTTTGCGAACGCCAACTTGTCAGCTCGCAGAATCTGCCTCAAGGAAACCTTACGGTAACCTTGTTGAGCTGGTTTGGTGAGGTACTTGAAAAGCGAGGAGATGTAAGCCTCATGCTTGTCCCAACTAATCAGCCTGGCGAATGCATATGCAACTCCCCGTCTTCTAAGGGCGTTTAACACCTGGAGGGATCCCTCTATATCACGATCTTCCATGCCAGAAGACTCCGTAACTTTGAGTTTTCCCCCTTCGAGGGAGAGGCTTGTGGTCAACGGCTTCAAGTTCTGAACTTCCTCCTCGCGGCTGTGGCATTTTTCCGGGCCAATGTACTTAAGGCATCGGTTTTCCCACTGCTGAACGGTCATGTCCAACAAGGCATGACTCGGCTCTAACTGGCCAGTCAGAGAAATCCCCGAAAGCTGAGTGTGCAACTGGTCCATGCGTGCATTACGCTCAGCGAGTCCCACCTTCTTAGGCGCAACACCCTCGGATGGTTCTGCCATGTCCTTAAGGGAGGCCACCAACATCGTCTGGGCCTCAAGAATCAACCGTCTCAGTGATGCCTTCTCGCCCACCGTAAGGTCTGCCAGTACTGCTGTGCTCCATGTATCGAAATCCGATTGAGCCAGGAGTTGCCCCGGCTGGCCCACGCAAAAGGCCAACTGGGCCAAGGTTTTGACCCCTTTGGCAGTTAGTGCATCAACGACCCGCTTGGTTAACAAAATCTCCTCTGCTCTCTGAAGGAAGTAAGGGGCCGAGTCCACTGAACTTGTCATGGCCGCTACAAGCTGCACGAGCCAAACAAACACTCGCAAAAAGAGACCTCACACCCGAGTCTGCGAGCTGGCATGACGGCAAACTCACCCTGCTATTTTCCAACTACGCTCGTGCTCACCACCTCTCCATGAGGGGAAAGTGGCTCTAAGAGAAACATTTAGAACACTGAGGGTAAGCATGTGCCCTGACCATAGGGACGCGGCGGTAGTGATCGCCAAAAGCTCTACCGCACAAAAACAAAGCAGACCCAAGTGTGGTTCTGTGCAAGACCTGACTTGTAGGGTGAGCCCAGTAGGAGGGGCTCTCCGAATTATCCTCCTCCGAATCAGAAGCATCTGAAACTACAGCCAAAGCAGTGTCCTGATCGTCGGGCGTGTCCCCCTGACTGGTTTCATCATCTCCAGGCGTAACCGCCGCGGACTCCATGATCTTTTGACGGTTCCAGCCTTGAGCAAAGTGGCCGCTCCTAGTTTGGTCAGGAAAGAATTTTCCTGACGCAACCGCTTCCAGGATAATGATGTACTCGCGCAACGCAGCACTCTGCAGCTCCCGACCGTACACCGCGTCTGATCCTGTAGCAGCGTCAGCGTGATGACCAAGAACGCGCTTAGTCTCCCTCAGCATGCCGAATTTGGAGCACCACACGAGGGTGGTCGCCTTGAGAGAATGACTAGACAATGGCTTTTCTGAATCAGGACGAGGGAGTAGAAAACGCAGCCAGCGGGTCACTTCACTAGATGACAGGGGGTCCGAAGACCAACTCCCATCAGGCCGAGGGGCCGGCAGGAAAGGGACATCAATCCCATCATTCAGCAACCCAGCTTCAACTCTCAACTCCAGCAGCAGTTGTCCCAACGGGACTTTAGCAATACCAATTCCCGGAATCACCAAGGGAAGGATTCGGCGTTGCTGAGCATCAAGCCGTGAAGTTTTGTGGTGGAGGGTACCTAGTTCAATGAAACCGTGACTCCAATCCGCGCCACTCTTGTCAAGAATCAAAGGTTGAATACAACGAACATCAGAAGCTCTAGCTCTGCCGTAAAGCATGGCCAGGAAATGAACTGCACCACATCTATCGATAAGGGAGATACCCTCATCCTGAGCGATTGCATGAAGCTGCAACACCTCGTGTACCTGCAGAGGGGGAGCCGGGTCCCATGGACTCTTGTTGGCCAGAGCTTTAGCCACCAGTCCGTTGACACGTGCACTCTGAAAAACTTCAAGACGTACCCGCAATCCCAGGGCATGATAACTCCATTTGATGGCCTTTAGACACGTATCCAAAGTGGTGGCAGCTGTTCGGGGCAGCTTCAAGACGCAGTTGACAAAAGACCGAACGCTCTCACAAAAGTTGGGGTTTTGTATGAAAGAATAGGAACTCAATCTGCTTGAGATTTCTTCCTCATGATTGGAATAAGCTTCATCGCAAAGGTCTATCTTGTGAGATCACGAAAATAATTTCATCTTCTATGTACACATGTGAAACCTAATCCCATATATGTGTTAAAGATTCATCCAGTTACACTGACGCGCTTTTTCTTCAGTCGTGGGGCAAGCATGCACAGGATGCGATCAGGTTTCGCGATTTCCTGCTCTCCCGAAATGCCCCCCCATACCCAAGATTGATACGGGTGGGTGGGAGGGACAAAAATTTTCTCTCAGCCCGAGCTCGAGCAGCTGTGAACATGAACGGGCCAACTGTTGATTCAAGCATGCAGCAAGTCACATGGCTAAAAATAACGTTCATGATGCTGAGGAAAATTCGTTTAAAACTCGAAACACTTTCCGCAACTCAAAAAGGTCGCAAAAAGGATTATTAAAAACCCCGTGCTCGAAGGAAGAGCACTACAACTTTAGTTTGAGAGAGAAATGTCAGGCGAGCTGAAATTTTCCCTCTCACAAAAGTTGGGGTTTTGTATGAAAGAATAGGAACTCAATCTGCTTGAGATTTCTTCCTCATGATTGGAATAAGCTTCATCGCAAAGGTCTATCTTGTGAGATCACGAAAATAATTTCATCTTCTATGTACACATGTGAAACCTAATCCCATATATGTGTTAAAGATTCATCCAGTTACACTGACGCGCTTTTTCTTCAGTCGTGGGGCAAGCATGCACAGGATGCGATCAGGTTTCGCGATTTCCTGCTCTCCCGAAATGCCCCCTTTTTAAGAGAGCTATCAGGTAGTTTCGAATGCTTGCCGAATCCATGGAAAAGACTGACATGCGACAGCTCCTGAAATCTTCAGAGCCTCCTCAGGCTTTCCCCGAGAAGGCCCATCAGCGATGTTCGAGTAACTCGGCACACGACATATCCAGGTATGACTTGGATCGGCATCCTCAGCAGCGGCGAAGCTTCTGATCAAGGTGTCCATCGTGTGGGACTTCGAACGGCCTTTAATGAGCCCGAATCGACAACCTTCATTGTCTGTCCAGATGATCACTCGACGTCCTGAAAGGCGATGGGCCAAGTGTATCCGCATGGCCACGACAGCGTAGGTTTCGATTTGTCCAATCAAGTGGTCACCGTCGGTCTGTAGGAGCGATTCTACCATGTCCTTTGGCATCTCGCCTCCAAAGACCTCTGCCGAACCATCGTGCGCGTCGAAAAGCACAGCCCCAACTCCGGCTACACCTTTTTCCCAGCTGCCATCTGTAAAGAGATGCACCGGAGAACTCGGCATATCTGCTTTGAGCTGTAGGGGCCTCGACGACTCCAGTGCAGTTATAGCGCGTTGACATAGCAGTCTAACCGCAACAGGAGAAGGGTGATGTCCATGATGCACTATGGCGTTCAAATCTTCACAAACATAACGCAAAGTCCGGCCCCCGAAGAACCCAGCTGCGTACCGCAGGAGGCCCAGCAGGACTTGGCCCTCGTGGCGGCTAAGGACTGCTGACTGCTTGATCTCACGAAGGCGCTCAAGGAGTCGGTCAACCCGGCCAAGCTTGTTAGCCACTGTCAAGGTTCCCGAAGATATGCAAGAGATGTCGAGATGCAAGCCCAGCACGTCAAAGGACTTCGCAAAGGGGAGGCCTTTGTGACCCTCTCCAATTTCGGCATGTTTCCAACCAAGCAAGTGCAAAAACTTCGTGCATAGGAGGCCCACCTGTTCAGCATCTTCCGAAGGCACAAGGATTGGATAGTCGTCGAAGAAGTTTGCATGAGGGATCTCCAGCACGACGTTCAGTAAGAAGCTCAAGGCCCGAGCTATTCTTAAGAAGGCATAGACTGAAGCAGAGGCCCCAAAAACCAATGCTGAAGAAATGAAAAAGATTGGGCGGCCATCGGCATCACGCAGAAGCAGAACGCACAAGCTCCGATGTTGCTCACAGACTGCCATCTGTTTGTAAGCACCACTTAGATCAAGGCATCGGCCACTCCACTCTCTGGGAACGACTCCCGGCTTTCCCATCACGCGCTTTGCGATTTCCATGGCCAAAGAAATGCAGAAGTCGCCGTCCTGTAACTTTAGCTTCATGGTGCTGGTGAAAGTGCAGTTCAAGTCGGAATCGCAGGCATCGTCAATCGGTCTCAGTTTGCCTCCTTGTCGAACGCCAAACCTTCGCATCAAACTCCAATCTGTTCTCCCCAGATGCTCAGAAACTTCCGTTTCACTGCTGAAAGGCCCCTGAAGCCATCCAGCCTTCGCTTCGTCCATGGTCACCTTCAGCAGATCGCGTTCTAGCTCGGGATCGGAAGCCCGATTTTCCAAAAGTAGCGCTGCCCGTTTCAAGGGAGCGACTTGACGGAGCTCCGCTTCGGTAGACGTGGCAGGTTTCACTTTGACATCAAAGGCAGCAGGGCATTCGGACACACCCGACAACTTCACCCCCGACTTCAAAAGCTCGATTGCCTCCATGTCATCGAAATTGTGCTGTCGCAGCAAAGACTCCAGAAGTAGGATCCTCTTGCCTTGCATCACGGTCTGCATCCACGATGGCATCGCTGAGTGAAGTTTGCTTTCGTCTTGTTCCAACTTTTTGGAAAGGATCTCTGCTTTCATCAGTGCAAGTTTTCGACGAAGAAAGAGGGCTCGGCGATCAGCTACCATGTTGGCCTCAAGAGAAGCTTTCAGCTCCTTTGGGAGTTTGTTTTCGGAGTCAAGAGGGTGGCACACTTTCTTAGCAGCCTGGAACCATTCACAAGGATCCCTGTAGAAACCAACCTGGCAATCCTCACCCCTATCCAAACCAAGCCCCTCGCTGTCTGGGGAAGTCTCAGGAAGAGCCTCGGCGACCTCCCCCGAATCACCCCCTTGCACGGGAGGCGCGCCGAGGACCTTGCAACCGGATGAGGGAATTTGGCCGCGGGGCATGATGCGCACGAATTTATATTCGGAAACCAAGGGCTTATGCTTACGGGTTTGGCGTCCCACCGCGGAAAGAGACTGCAAGCGCGGGTCGGGGGCCTCGGTCTGGCCAGGGGAGACATGGCAAGCAGAAGCAAAGCATGCGGCCCAGCGAGCAGCCAACACAACAGGATACTGGGCCTCGAGGTGAGTGGACCACACCCAACCGCCAGCACGCCAGCTGACGCCCCAAGGTTCGTGCACATGACGGCCGCTGCAGCGGGCACGAAGGCTGCCAAAGGCAGCCCGGTTGCTGAGGAGCTTGGTGGACTTGGGACGAGCGCCACCGTGCTCACAAGCGTCGAAGATGATCTCATGCAAGTCACTGAACCAGCGGCGGACCTTGGGCGAAGCGTGCATTCGGACCTTCAAGGCCAGCACACTCCAGAACCACGAGTTCGAGGGGTTTTCAAGAGTGAAGACACAGTCGTGCTCAGCGCACCAAAGCAGGACATGAAAGACCAAGTCATAAAGACGATTGGCAGCGGCGAGGCGCAAACCATCAGGGCTGGCGGGGTCAATGTGAGGCAAGCCGAGGGGAAAGTCGGCGCTCCGAAGCGGCCGAGGGTCACGGAGGCCGAGGGCGCGTAACTTGGCCGGCAAGGGCCGCTCACGGGCCCGAGACGATGTGCCACAAGGGGGGCCTAGATGCACCGCGGCAGGCTTTTTGTCATGCAGCAAACGAAACAAGGCATCGCGGCCCATATCGGAAGCAAGGTCAAGGCGAACCGTGGGAACTTGAGGACGCCGGGGACAGTTATCAACAGCAACGGCCGTGAACCCGAGCCTCTGGGCGGCTCGAGCCAGGGTCGCGGACCCGGAGAAGACCTCGAGAAAGAGTTTGGGCGGGCCAAGGGTGGGCAAGGCGGATGAGGAGGGTAGGCGGAAGCCAATGTCACCCAGCCAGTCACGGTCGGCAAGGGGAAGCTTGGGACTATCCCGGGGGGTGAAGGCAATCAGCACAACCCTGCGGCCTTCCCAAGGCAAAACAGCATGGCGGTTCACGGCGGCATGAAGCAAGACTGGTCCGGCGGATACATCATGCAGACGCCCCCAAAAAGTGCCAGAAGCGTCTTCAAAGCGGTCAGCCCCTCCTTCGCATTCTTCCCAGATTTGGCCTTTGCGAAATCGGGTCAAGGGGATGACGAGGTTCCAGGAGGAGCGGTCATTGTTGCAGTCCACATGGAGTGGGCTTTGAACATCATCGAGCAAGACCAGGCTGGAAAAGGTGTGGTGAGGATTCACTTGGTGAACATAACGGCAAAAGAGAGCGGAGCTCTTTGGAAAAGACTTAGTATCTGTACGAATTCCGATCTGGGACCCGAACACCCAGGCACCGCAACCAAAGCTTCGGTGATGGAAGGCATCTCGTTTAGATGGATTTCTGGGCAAGAGGTCGAAAACTCGCAAAACATCAAAGGCTTCCAAGGTTGGCTTTCGAAGAAGTTGCTCGGCAAGGGCTTCGGGACCTAAGCCAACAGAGTTCGCCTCAAAAGGCACGTGCGTGACACAATGCGGGGAGAGCGGCGCAGGCTCCGGGGGAAGATCGGAGCCCCCCGCCCGGAGTCAAGACCCCTTTGTGCACAGATGGCCAGGGTGGTCGCCACCACACCCAGCCCTCCAACAGATGTGGAAACCACGGCCGCAACGGTTCTTGGAGTTAACTCGAAAGCGGCACCTTCCTTGGTTGAAGGCAAAGCAGACAGGCTTGTCGTTCACGCGGCTGACACAGCCGTCGGGCACTGTGAACTCCTTGCGAACCTCACCTTTAGACGACTTGCCCTTCCCCTTACCTTTCCCTTTATCGCCCTTCTCACCGCCTTTGGGGTCATCCCATTTGCGCTTGCCTGGCCAGGGGGCAGAAGGAGGAGGAGTAGGGAGAGCGTTAAGGTACTGCAAAACCTCTTGCGACTCGGACAAAAGCTTGATCTGGGTTTCCAAAGGCTTCTCACGGCCGGGCTCGCCGGCAAGTTTTCCAAGGAGCGCATGCGAAGCCAGCGTGAACAGGTGCCTGTCGGCAGCAATAAGTTGATGAGTGGTTACTTTGGAGTAACCATTGGGCACGGGCCTCATCAAGGCAAGGAAGCATTTGTGACACCACTCCTCAAGCACCTGAAAGCTGCACAAGCCGGCGAGATCATATGCCAGCGAGCGACGAGTCCAAGCATTGCGCAGAGCTAAGTCAGTGTGCGTGTCACAAGTGGCAGATTCGGCTTTGCTCGCCATCTTCAAGTTCCCCTCGCCATCAACCACCACTTGCTGGTCTTTCTTCAACATCTGAGCTTCCTGGGCACGGCTGATGATGCGATAGGCTGGCAAGTACTGGAGGACTCCATCCTCGAGTTGTTTGACAAGAGTGTCCACAACGGAATGAGCTGGCAAGGTTTCAGGCGAAAGAATGAGGCCCGTGACACGCTTCTTCAAGGCCTCCTGGCGGGCCAAGCGCTCCGCATTGGGCATAGCACGAACCGCAGCTGTGTCAGCGGCAGGTTCCACGCGTGCCTTCATGTCAGCCACGCTTAGGTTCTGGGCTTCAAACATCAAACGTCTCACCTTAGAGGACTGATCAGGCGGGAAGTCATGTGGAAAAATGTTTCCCATCCATCGCTTCACATCGGCTTCATCCAATTGTGTCGGCGTGGTAGACACAGCAAAAGCCAAGGTTCCGAAGCTCTTGAATCCCGCATCGACAAGAATGCGAATGGTGGACTCGCTGAGTTTGACCTTCTGGCAACGCTCCAAAAACCAGGCCTCGCTATCCACTGCAATCCCCGCCATGGCTCGACACCTAGCAAGTCGGGACGATCTCGCTCCTTGTCAGGTTGAAGCCTAAAGATCGACTTCGGACAAGTAAGATGGGTATTGCAACGCAGTCAAACGTGTCCGCAGTTTCCCCGAGCAGAAGCCCATGCTTTTATCATGACTGTGATTCCGAAGTGCTCTGACGGTGAACGAAGCCTCGGCTCTCACAGCTGGGTGATTCTCGATAAAGGCTTCGAGTCAGCTGGAGTAGGCTCAACTTGCTCTCCCCAAAGATCTCGACTTGCGTTCGAGTGGGAGCAACATCACCGATTGTCAGACTTCGGTGCGACGCCTGAGATTGGCCAGAAGGATGTACCGTCTGTGCTGTTCACAAGGACAGATGCACTCGTTTTCCTTCAAGATTTCGGTCACTCTGCAGCCTCCAAAATGTGCCGGCATTGTTTACAGGGGTCAGGGTCCTCAAAATAGACCCCCGCTTCACGGAAAGGAATATGGTTCCTCGAGAGAGGTCGGCCACACCACAAGTTGGCTTGATCCTTCAAACAATGCGTTATGCCGGACACTGTGTGCACTACAAGAGAATCTTCAGAAACATTCGGCCCAAAAGGGGCCCTCTGTAAGCCTCCTCCACCGCGGCCTGGAGCCTCAGAAGCTTCAGAGCTCTGTGAAGACGGGGGGTCCTCGAACTCGTCAAAATCGTGTCGTGGCACAGGCGCCTCGGGTTCCGGAGCAATGACGTCCTGGGCGGCACCTGGTCGCTCCGCTGCAGCCACTTGCACCACCCGATCAACGTCAGACAAGTCAGGGTCATAGTCTCCCGCGCGGATGGCTTCGAACATCGCCATGACTCGCCCGTACAAAAGGGTGTACTGCTGCCGGGCGTAGGTCGCCGGTGATTTCTCCTTTGGAGCAATGTGGTGTCCAAGAAGGCGCTTTTCCGCTCCACTGAATTTTGGGCGAGGGCAGCGGCCCGCCCAAGATGTCAAAGTGGCCTTCAACGAATGCGTCGCCCTCTGCATGGCTTGGTCTTGATCGATTCCCTTCAAAATCAGAAAGTCCTGCAGGTAGCTGGTCGCCTCGACGCTCCCCATCTGAACAGAGCTCCAGCGGTTTTGGCTCTCGAGGCGTGACGGCAGCGCAAAGTTCTCAAGGGAGAGGCCTTCATGTTCACGAGCCTTCAGCCAAGCTTTCGCCCAATTGTTGCCAGACAACCCACAGCCGAGGGCTGCGTAGGGAAGCAGCCGGGTTTTTGCCTCCTTAGAGACAGTCGTCTTGGATGTCAAGCCTGATGCAACAACTAAGATCACGCCGTCGGACTCCTGAATTGAAATCTCCTTGAGGTTCTGAGAATCGCTCCATCTGTCAGCCGAATGCGCACAAAACAGCAGCTGTCCACAAATGCACGCAAGTACTGGTCCAGTTTCCACACAGAATGCTTCCAATGCCATCAACATGGGAACCGTCAGTTCAGGTTTCTGTTGCAGAGGACGCTTCATCAAATGTAGGTCCCGGCTTATGCCAAGCACCCGGCTGGAGAGGACTGTTTCAGGCTCCATGTGCAGCAACTTGGCGACCCCGTGCACAAAGCGAAGGCCTTCCACAAAATGCGTCATGCTGGTCGGCCTGGCTCCTGAGTCACGCAAGAAGTTTGCATACATGTATATGGTCGGCTCATCGACTGCAAGAGGGCTGTCTATGCTCTCTGTTGTGCACCAGGAAAAATACCTCAGGAGGGACCCACCTCGCTTTGAGATTGTCCTGGAAGCTTTAGTTCTGAAGGCATCCGAAAAAGACTTCTTGATGGCCTCCTCGTTTACATCTGCCCCGAGCAACGACAGCAAAGACCTTCCCAAGCTACTCACCTCTGGATCCCACAAGATGACCAGCCTCATCTTCTTAAGAGCAGCCGTTCGGATGTCTTCCTCCGACCGCTCCACTGTGATGCGTTTCAGGAACTTAACCGTCGTGGGTGGCACACACCTTCGTTTTGCTTCGTCATCGGATTCCTCTGGATCAAGAAAATCAATTGCACCAATAACTTGCAAAGGACTCGTTCCTCTCTCCCAGGAAAAACGCAAAGACGAAGATGTTTCCCATGAAAATCTCGGCCTGCTCTCAAAACGCTGTTGTGAAGTAGCCTCTACAGCTGCACGCTGGAAATCACCCAAGATTCGGTCATCTGGAAGAGGGACCAGAAGCGAAGCGTCATCGGATTCTTGAAAAGAATGGTTTGCCACACGCAAGGTGGCACTCAAGAAATCGTCTGTCTCCAAGTCACGACAGGCGTCATACCAAGCAGCTTCAGAAATTGAAGTAGGTGCACACGACGAAGGCGGTATGCGTGTGCCGAATACAGGCTCTCTGCCCTGAACCCAGCCTGGGTCGACCCAACCCTCGTCGTCCCCTGGAACCCCGGGCAAACCCTGAAAAGGCCTAGTGCAGTTGACCCAGTTGCGACTCTCCAAAGCCTCAGTATCTTCAAGGGCTCCCGACTCACCCCCTTGGAAAGAGCCCTGAAGAGAACGAACGAAAGACTGGGCTTGCTCATCAGCGGCACGCAAGTCACACTCGGTCTGGTCGACCACACCTGCGGGGCTGAACAAGAGCCAAGGGTCGAGATTATCGGGTTCGGAGGAAGGATTCGACATGTTGCAAGCGGCACCTTAGTTGGACAGCTGAAGAAGAAGGCGAACACACGTATGCGGGCGGGGGCCGGTGCAGGCAAGAGCAAGCCAATGAGGAGGGTTGAGAAACAAAAGGATCCTGGATCCTTCTCTGGTACTGACCAACACACCACAGAAAGAGCTCTCGAGGACGTATGAAAAGAGACTGGGAGGAGCGTTTAGCTGACGCTGAAGTGAAGCAGTATGAAAGGACCGAGGCCGGATGCAAACCGCCTGGAAAACGGGGGCTGGCGGCACAACAGGCCAGTCCCAACTGAGAGAGCTGCTCGTAGAGCTCGACTCGCTATCCATCCGCCGAGAGCTCACAGGCTCTCGGCTTGCACGACCCCTAAGGGGAGACCAATAGCACCTCGAACCTCTAGCACGGCACCCTTACAGGATTAGCGGAGGCTCAAAAGGGACAAAAATTTTCTCTCAGCCCGAGCTCGAGCAGCTGTGAACATGAACGGGCCAACTGTTGATTCAAGCATGCAGCAAGTCACATGGCTAAAAATAACGTTCATGATGCTGAGGAAAATTCGTTTAAAACTCGAAACACTTTCCGCAACTCAAAAAGGTCGCAAAAAGGATTATTAAAAACCCCGTGCTCGAAGGAAGAGCACTACAACTTTAGTTTGAGAGAGAAATGTCAGGCGAGCTGAAATTTTCCACCTTTTCAGGAAAAGGAGGAAGGTTCCCTGACTTTACCAGCCATTCACAAAATGTGCGAATTGGCCCCACATGCTTCAAAACTGTGGCTGGGGATTTGCCAGCCAGAATCGCCTGCAATGAGTCCTGACCAGTCTCTGTATCATCTTCCATGAGAGTACACAAGTCAAAGAAACTAGCAAAGGATTGGAGCAAGAGCAAAACCTTCTGATAAGCTTCGTGCTGACGGTCTCGCGAGCTCGCTCCCCGACGGGCCTTAACTGCACGAGTCCAGGCCTGGCAATGCGACGTTGCTGTATCTGCTATACTTGTCGAAGACTGCGTGCCAGCTGTTAAGGCAGTCATCGGTTGTGTTCTCCCGCCCTGGTAAGGCACGCCCAACCCTTGAGGGAACATCGCCTTCATCGGGTCAAAAATGCACAACATGCTAGGCTGTTCCCAAGGCTGGCTGGGCAAAGCTGATCGTGCATGGATCTGGTTACGAAAGAACAATTCAGCCTCGCTGGAGCTGGGGTCTCGACCGGACATGACGAGGAATACCAATCAGCCAGTCCCCAGATGCTACATGAATACTGAGCCGATCCATCACAAAACAACAAAGTGAGTTATCCCTGCTGGCGCATTGGATGCATGTGCAGCGACACAACACTCACGTGTGCAAACACTCACATGTGCAAAATGAATTGTTTCCGATCTGCCTGATCGCTGCATCCTGTGCTGTTCATACTAAGGGTCCGGCTCACCCTGTCAGCGAGGCCACCCCACTGCTATGCCGCGAAGCACAACATGCTTGGGCGAGAGCAGAAAATGCTCACCCGAGCGTACCGAGCCCGAGTCTCGGCATGCCGAGTGGAGGTAATCGTGCCCACCTTCCACCTGAGGAGTGGGACCCGGGAGCTCAGCTTCCACCACCAACATAGCCCCTCCGAGGGACTTAGCCCGGCTCGCTGTCTTCTTCACAGCAGCCACCATGGAATCTTTCGAGTACCCCACGAGGGCACCCCGAGCAGAAAATCCATAAGCCGGGAAACCGTCTTCACGATTGTCCCCCACAGTGATTTCTCCACATTGGGCCACGCCAATCACCGAGGCAAAACTTGTGCCATGACACATCGTGGCCTGGTTGGCATAGTTGGGATCATGGACAAAGCTCGGCCCCTTGATGTTGCATCCCACGAACAAAACGTTCTGGCCCGGGACATCAAAAGTGAACATCTCCGGCCCAACCTTTTGGGCAAGATCACCATCGCCCTCCAAGGGACGTCCGTAATGCCGGAAGGCCCCCATAATCGTGGCCATTCTGCCAGCAACTGCATCAGGCACCGAAAGGTGGGACATATGGGGCTTGTACTCCGAGGCCTCGGCAAATTGGGCCGGGATCTTGTTCCACGGGTACTTCCACCAGGGCTCAAGCTGCCCCTTCTCGACCAACTCCCGTGCGCTGAGGGGTCGATCCGTGGCAGCCCAAGCTGCCGTGTTGGCCGACTCCCATAGGGCTTTGAGGTATTCCCCATCATCAGCTTCTTCATCTTCCAGGGAGAGCTCCTCTTGTCCTGCCTTATCGGCAGCTGCCTTTCGGGCTTCGGCCGCCTTGATTTCCTCAGGTGTGGCCTCCTTAACATCATAACTCGCAGCAGGCCTCTCCTGAGGCTTGCTTTTCTTCCAATTCTCACTCTGCCACTTGTTCCATGGCCGTTGGGGTTTCTTCCATTGAGACTGAGACTTCCAACTGTCTCTCCAACTGGAGGGTGTCTCTTGCACATTGCCCCCTGGTCCGATCAAGGCCGGTTGCTGCATCACCGGCACCTGTTGCCATACATGCCCTGGGCTTGCCATAGGCAACGCGGGTGGTGGTGGCATGGGTGGTGGCGCCGTTTCGCGGCGGGGCGGGGTGCTCCCACGGCTGCGTTCCGTCCTCCTGGACCCACGCCGACCCCTTGAACGATCTCTCGTTCGCTCTCTTGAGCGCGAGTCTGAGCTGCTACGGCGCCTACGGCGTCTGCCCCGGGAATCCGTGCCAAAAGGAGGCATCAAAGGCCATGGGTACATCTGACCCACCAGGCACCTGCCTTCGTGTCACAGGTTCCGTGCTCCTGCACAAAAATGCCCCGGCGAGTCTCGCCACGAACTAAGGTTTTGGGCCAAAGAAAAACAAATAATGCACGAACACTTGCTGCAATGACCACATCTGTGTCTACCACCGATACTCTGCGGTGCTGATCCTTCCTTTCCGTGTTGATACACGTCACGTGGCTGCACGGCCCTTCTCGGCCGGCCCTCTTGGGCTCTATACTTCTCATGAGAGCACTTCTGGCTCGAGCTTTCGGCTCAGAATCGAAAACACGACCTAGGTCGTGTGATCAAGCTTGCACAGAAAAACAAGTCCCAAAACGATTCTCCAACACTGCACTGCATCTCGATGCACATACGTCTGTCATTTGTCGTTAGGTTGCCAAACAAATGCACCTCTCACAAAAGTTGGGGTTTTGTATGAAAGAATAGGAACTCAATCTGCTTGAGATTTCTTCCTCATGATTGGAATAAGCTTCATCGCAAAGGTCTATCTTGTGAGATCACGAAAATAATTTCATCTTCTATGTACACATGTGAAACCTAATCCCATATATGTGTTAAAGATTCATCCAGTTACACTGACGCGCTTTTTCTTCAGTCGTGGGGCAAGCATGCACAGGATGCGATCAGGTTTCGCGATTTCCTGCTCTCCCGAAATGCCCCCCCATACCCAAGATTGATACGGGTGGGTGGGAGGGACAAAAATTTTCTCTCAGCCCGAGCTCGAGCAGCTGTGAACATGAACGGGCCAACTGTTGATTCAAGCATGCAGCAAGTCACATGGCTAAAAATAACGTTCATGATGCTGAGGAAAATTCGTTTAAAACTCGAAACACTTTCCGCAACTCAAAAAGGTCGCAAAAAGGATTATTAAAAACCCCGTGCTCGAAGGAAGAGCACTACAACTTTAGTTTGAGAGAGAAATGTCAGGCGAGCTGAAATTTTCCCTCTCACAAAAGTTGGGGTTTTGTATGAAAGAATAGGAACTCAATCTGCTTGAGATTTCTTCCTCATGATTGGAATAAGCTTCATCGCAAAGGTCTATCTTGTGAGATCACGAAAATAATTTCATCTTCTATGTACACATGTGAAACCTAATCCCATATATGTGTTAAAGATTCATCCAGTTACACTGACGCGCTTTTTCTTCAGTCGTGGGGCAAGCATGCACAGGATGCGATCAGGTTTCGCGATTTCCTGCTCTCCCGAAATGCCCCCTTTTTAAGAGAGCTATCAGGTAGTTTCGAATGCTTGCCGAATCCATGGAAAAGACTGACATGCGACAGCTCCTGAAATCTTCAGAGCCTCCTCAGGCTTTCCCCGAGAAGGCCCATCAGCGATGTTCGAGTAACTCGGCACACGACATATCCAGGTATGACTTGGATCGGCATCCTCAGCAGCGGCGAAGCTTCTGATCAAGGTGTCCATCGTGTGGGACTTCGAACGGCCTTTAATGAGCCCGAATCGACAACCTTCATTGTCTGTCCAGATGATCACTCGACGTCCTGAAAGGCGATGGGCCAAGTGTATCCGCATGGCCACGACAGCGTAGGTTTCGATTTGTCCAATCAAGTGGTCACCGTCGGTCTGTAGGAGCGATTCTACCATGTCCTTTGGCATCTCGCCTCCAAAGACCTCTGCCGAACCATCGTGCGCGTCGAAAAGCACAGCCCCAACTCCGGCTACACCTTTTTCCCAGCTGCCATCTGTAAAGAGATGCACCGGAGAACTCGGCATATCTGCTTTGAGCTGTAGGGGCCTCGACGACTCCAGTGCAGTTATAGCGCGTTGACATAGCAGTCTAACCGCAACAGGAGAAGGGTGATGTCCATGATGCACTATGGCGTTCAAATCTTCACAAACATAACGCAAAGTCCGGCCCCCGAAGAACCCAGCTGCGTACCGCAGGAGGCCCAGCAGGACTTGGCCCTCGTGGCGGCTAAGGACTGCTGACTGCTTGATCTCACGAAGGCGCTCAAGGAGTCGGTCAACCCGGCCAAGCTTGTTAGCCACTGTCAAGGTTCCCGAAGATATGCAAGAGATGTCGAGATGCAAGCCCAGCACGTCAAAGGACTTCGCAAAGGGGAGGCCTTTGTGACCCTCTCCAATTTCGGCATGTTTCCAACCAAGCAAGTGCAAAAACTTCGTGCATAGGAGGCCCACCTGTTCAGCATCTTCCGAAGGCACAAGGATTGGATAGTCGTCGAAGAAGTTTGCATGAGGGATCTCCAGCACGACGTTCAGTAAGAAGCTCAAGGCCCGAGCTATTCTTAAGAAGGCATAGACTGAAGCAGAGGCCCCAAAAACCAATGCTGAAGAAATGAAAAAGATTGGGCGGCCATCGGCATCACGCAGAAGCAGAACGCACAAGCTCCGATGTTGCTCACAGACTGCCATCTGTTTGTAAGCACCACTTAGATCAAGGCATCGGCCACTCCACTCTCTGGGAACGACTCCCGGCTTTCCCATCACGCGCTTTGCGATTTCCATGGCCAAAGAGATGCAGAAGTCGCCGTCCTGTAACTTTAGCTTCATGGTGCTGGTGAAAGTGCAGTTCAAGTCGGAATCGCAGGCATCGTCAATCGGTCTCAGTTTGCCTCCTTGTCGAACGCCAAACCTTCGCATCAAACTCCAATCTGTTCTCCCCAGATGCTCAGAAACTTCCGTTTCACTGCTGAAAGGCCCCTGAAGCCATCCAGCCTTCGCTTCGTCCATGGTCACCTTCAGCAGATCGCGTTCTAGCTCGGGATCGGAAGCCCGATTTTCCAAAAGTAGCGCTGCCCGTTTCAAGGGAGCGACTTGACGGAGCTCCGCTTCGGTAGACGTGGCAGGTTTCACTTTGACATCAAAGGCAGCAGGGCATTCGGACACACCCGACAACTTCACCCCCGACTTCAAAAGCTCGATTGCCTCCATGTCATCGAAATTGTGCTGTCGCAGCAAAGACTCCAGAAGTAGGATCCTCTTGCCTTGCATCACGGTCTGCATCCACGATGGCATCGCTGAGTGAAGTTTGCTTTCGTCTTGTTCCAACTTTTTGGAAAGGATCTCTGCTTTCATCAGTGCAAGTTTTCGACGAAGAAAGAGGGCTCGGCGATCAGCTACCATGTTGGCCTCAAGAGAAGCTTTCAGCTCCTTTGGGAGTTTGTTTTCGGAGTCAAGAGGGTGGCACACTTTCTTAGCAGCCTGGAACCATTCACAAGGATCCCTGTAGAAACCAACCTGGCAATCCTCACCCCTATCCAAACCAAGCCCCTCGCTGTCTGGGGAAGTCTCAGGAAGAGCCTCGGCGACCTCCCCCGAATCACCCCCTTGCACGGGAGGCGCGCCGAGGACCTTGCAACCGGATGAGGGAATTTGGCCGCGGGGCATGATGCGCACGAATTTATATTCGGAAACCAAGGGCTTATGCTTACGGGTTTGGCGTCCCACCGCGGAAAGAGACTGCAAGCGCGGGTCGGGGGCCTCGGTCGGGCCAGGGGAGACATGGCAAGCAGAAGCAAAGCATGCGGCCCAGCGAGCAGCCAACACAACAGGATACTGGGCCTCGAGGTGAGTGGACCACACCCAACCGCCAGCACGCCAGCTGACGCCCCAAGGTTCGTGCACATGACGGCCGCTGCAGCGGGCACGAAGGCTGCCAAAGGCAGCCCGGTTGCTGAGGAGCTTGGTGGACTTGGGACGAGCGCCACCGTGCTCACAAGCGTCGAAGATGATCTCATGCAAGTCACTGAACCAGCGGCGGACCTTGGGCGAAGCGTGCATTCGGACCTTCAAGGCCAGCACACTCCAGAACCACGAGTTCGAGGGGTTTTCAAGAGTGAAGACACAGTCGTGCTCAGCGCACCAAAGCAGGACATGAAAGACCAAGTCATAAAGACGATTGGCAGCGGCGAGGCGCAAACCATCAGGGCTGGCGGGGTCAATGTGAGGCAAGCCGAGGGGAAAGTCGGCGCTCCGAAGCGGCCGAGGGTCACGGAGGCCGAGGGCGCGTAACTTGGCCGGCAAGGGCCGCTCACGGGCCCGAGACGATGTGCCACAAGGGGGGCCTAGATGCACCGCGGCAGGCTTTTTGTCATGCAGCAAACGAAACAAGGCATCGCGGCCCATATCGGAAGCAAGGTCAAGGCGAACCGTGGGAACTTGAGGACGCCGGGGACAGTTATCAACAGCAACGGCCGTGAACCCGAGCCTCTGGGCGGCTCGAGCCAGGGTCGCGGACCCGGAGAAGACCTCGAGAAAGAGTTTGGGCGGGCCAAGGGTGGGCAAGGCGGATGAGGAGGGTAGGCGGAAGCCAATGTCACCCAGCCAGTCACGGTCGGCAAGGGGAAGCTTGGGACTATCCCGGGGGGTGAAGGCAATCAGCACAACCCTGCGGCCTTCCCAAGGCAAAACAGCATGGCGGTTCACGGCGGCATGAAGCAAGACTGGTCCGGCGGATACATCATGCAGACGCCCCCAAAAAGTGCCAGAAGCGTCTTCAAAGCGGTCAGCCCCTCCTTCGCATTCTTCCCAGATTTGGCCTTTGCGAAATCGGGTCAAGGGGATGACGAGGTTCCAGGAGGAGCGGTCATTGTTGCAGTCCACATGGAGTGGGCTTTGAACATCATCGAGCAAGACCAGGCTGGAAAAGGTGTGGTGAGGATTCACTTGGTGAACATAACGGCAAAAGAGAGCGGAGCTCTTTGGAAAAGACTTAGTATCTGTACGAATTCCGATCTGGGACCCGAACACCCAGGCACCGCAACCAAAGCTTCGGTGATGGAAGGCATCTCGTTTAGATGGATTTCTGGGCAAGAGGTCGAAAACTCGCAAAACATCAAAGGCTTCCAAGGTTGGCTTTCGAAGAAGTTGCTCGGCAAGGGCTTCGGGACCTAAGCCAACAGAGTTCGCCTCAAAAGGCACGTGCGTGACACAATGCGGGGAGAGCGGCGCAGGCTCCGGGGGAAGATCGGAGCCCCCCGCCCGGAGTCAAGACCCCTTTGTGCACAGATGGCCAGGGTGGTCGCCACCACACCCAGCCCTCCAACAGATGTGGAAACCACGGCCGCAACGGTTCTTGGAGTTAACTCGAAAGCGGCACCTTCCTTGGTTGAAGGCAAAGCAGACAGGCTTGTCGTTCACGCGGCTGACACAGCCGTCGGGCACTGTGAACTCCTTGCGAACCTCACCTTTAGACGACTTGCCCTTCCCCTTACCTTTCCCTTTATCGCCCTTCTCACCGCCTTTGGGGTCATCCCATTTGCGCTTGCCTGGCCAGGGGGCAGAAGGAGGAGGAGTAGGGAGAGCGTTAAGGTACTGCAAAACCTCTTGCGACTCGGACAAAAGCTTGATCTGGGTTTCCAAAGGCTTCTCACGGCCGGGCTCGCCGGCAAGTTTTCCAAGGAGCGCATGCGAAGCCAGCGTGAACAGGTGCCTGTCGGCAGCAATAAGTTGATGAGTGGTTACTTTGGAGTAACCATTGGGCACGGGCCTCATCAAGGCAAGGAAGCATTTGTGACACCACTCCTCAAGCACCTGAAAGCTGCACAAGCCGGCGAGATCATATGCCAGCGAGCGACGAGTCCAAGCATTGCGCAGAGCTAAGTCAGTGTGCGTGTCACAAGTGGCAGATTCGGCTTTGCTCGCCATCTTCAAGTTCCCCTCGCCATCAACCACCACTTGCTGGTCTTTCTTCAACATCTGAGCTTCCTGGGCACGGCTGATGATGCGATAGGCTGGCAAGTACTGGAGGACTCCATCCTCGAGTTGTTTGACAAGAGTGTCCACAACGGAATGAGCTGGCAAGGTTTCAGGCGAAAGAATGAGGCCCGTGACACGCTTCTTCAAGGCCTCCTGGCGGGCCAAGCGCTCCGCATTGGGCATAGCACGAACCGCAGCTGTGTCAGCGGCAGGTTCCACGCGTGCCTTCATGTCAGCCACGCTTAGGTTCTGGGCTTCAAACATCAAACGTCTCACCTTAGAGGACTGATCAGGCGGGAAGTCATGTGGAAAAATGTTTCCCATCCATCGCTTCACATCGGCTTCATCCAATTGTGTCGGCGTGGTAGACACAGCAAAAGCCAAGGTTCCGAAGCTCTTGAATCCCGCATCGACAAGAATGCGAATGGTGGACTCGCTGAGTTTGACCTTCTGGCAACGCTCCAAAAACCAGGCCTCGCTATCCACTGCAATCCCCGCCATGGCTCGACACCTAGCAAGTCGGGACGATCTCGCTCCTTGTCAGGTTGAAGCCTAAAGATCGACTTCGGACAAGTAAGATGGGTATTGCAACGCAGTCAAACGTGTCCGCAGTTTCCCCGAGCAGAAGCCCATGCTTTTATCATGACTGTGATTCCGAAGTGCTCTGACGGTGAACGAAGCCTCGGCTCTCACAGCTGGGTGATTCTCGATAAAGGCTTCGAGTCAGCTGGAGTAGGCTCAACTTGCTCTCCCCAAAGATCTCGACTTGCGTTCGAGTGGGAGCAACATCACCGATTGTCAGACTTCGGTGCGACGCCTGAGATTGGCCAGAAGGATGTACCGTCTGTGCTGTTCACAAGGACAGATGCACTCGTTTTCCTTCAAGATTTCGGTCACTCTGCAGCCTCCAAAATGTGCCGGCATTGTTTACAGGGGTCAGGGTCCTCAAAATAGACCCCCGCTTCACGGAAAGGAATATGGTTCCTCGAGAGAGGTCGGCCACACCACAAGTTGGCTTGATCCTTCAAACAATGCGTTATGCCGGACACTGTGTGCACTACAAGAGAATCTTCAGAAACATTCGGCCCAAAAGGGGCCCTCTGTAAGCCTCCTCCACCGCGGCCTGGAGCCTCAGAAGCTTCAGAGCTCTGTGAAGACGGGGGGTCCTCGAACTCGTCAAAATCGTGTCGTGGCACAGGCGCCTCGGGTTCCGGAGCAATGACGTCCTGGGCGGCACCTGGTCGCTCCGCTGCAGCCACTTGCACCACCCGATCAACGTCAGACAAGTCAGGGTCATAGTCTCCCGCGCGGATGGCTTCGAACATCGCCATGACTCGCCCGTACAAAAGGGTGTACTGCTGCCGGGCGTAGGTCGCCGGTGATTTCTCCTTTGGAGCAATGTGGTGTCCAAGAAGGCGCTTTTCCGCTCCACTGAATTTTGGGCGAGGGCAGCGGCCCGCCCAAGATGTCAAAGTGGCCTTCAACGAATGCGTCGCCCTCTGCATGGCTTGGTCTTGATCGATTCCCTTCAAAATCAGAAAGTCCTGCAGGTAGCTGGTCGCCTCGACGCTCCCCATCTGAACAGAGCTCCAGCGGTTTTGGCTCTCGAGGCGTGACGGCAGCGCAAAGTTCTCAAGGGAGAGGCCTTCATGTTCACGAGCCTTCAGCCAAGCTTTCGCCCAATTGTTGCCAGACAACCCACAGCCGAGGGCTGCGTAGGGAAGCAGCCGGGTTTTTGCCTCCTTAGAGACAGTCGTCTTGGATGTCAAGCCTGATGCAACAACTAAGATCACGCCGTCGGACTCCTGAATTGAAATCTCCTTGAGGTTCTGAGAATCGCTCCATCTGTCAGCCGAATGCGCACAAAACAGCAGCTGTCCACAAATGCACGCAAGTACTGGTCCAGTTTCCACACAGAATGCTTCCAATGCCATCAACATGGGAACCGTCAGTTCAGGTTTCTGTTGCAGAGGACGCTTCATCAAATATAGGTCCCGGCTTATGCCAAGCACCCGGCTGGAGAGGACTGTTTCAGGCTCCATGTGCAGCAACTTGGCGACCCCGTGCACAAAGCGAAGGCCTTCCACAAAATGCGTCATGCTGGTCGGCCTGGCTCCTGAGTCACGCAAGAAGTTTGCATACATGTATATGGTCGGCTCATCGACTGCAAGAGGGCTGTCTATGCTCTCTGTTGTGCACCAGGAAAAATACCTCAGGAGGGACCCACCTCGCTTTGAGATTGTCCTGGAAGCTTTAGTTCTGAAGGCATCCGAAAAAGACTTCTTGATGGCCTCCTCGTTTACATCTGCCCCGAGCAACGACAGCAAAGACCTTCCCAAGCTACTCACCTCTGGATCCCACAAGATGACCAGCCTCATCTTCTTAAGAGCAGCCGTTCGGATGTCTTCCTCCGACCGCTCCACTGTGATGCGTTTCAGGAACTTAACCGTCGTGGGTGGCACACACCTTCGTTTTGCTTCGTCATCGGATTCCTCTGGATCAAGAAAATCAATTGCACCAATAACTTGCAAAGGACTCGTTCCTCTCTCCCAGGAAAAACGCAAAGACGAAGATGTTTCCCATGAAAATCTCGGCCTGCTCTCAAAACGCTGTTGTGAAGTAGCCTCTACAGCTGCACGCTGGAAATCACCCAAGATTCGGTCATCTGGAAGAGGGACCAGAAGCGAAGCGTCATCGGATTCTTGAAAAGAATGGTTTGCCACACGCAAGGTGGCACTCAAGAAATCGTCTGTCTCCAAGTCACGACAGGCGTCATACCAAGCAGCTTCAGAAATTGAAGTAGGTGCACACGACGAAGGCGGTATGCGTGTGCCGAATACAGGCTCTCTGCCCTGAACCCAGCCTGGGTCGACCCAACCCTCGTCGTCCCCTGGAACCCCGGGCAAACCCTGAAAAGGCCTAGTGCAGTTGACCCAGTTGCGACTCTCCAAAGCCTCAGTATCTTCAAGGGCTCCCGACTCACCCCCTTGGAAAGAGCCCTGAAGAGAACGAACGAAAGACTGGGCTTGCTCATCAGCGGCACGCAAGTCACACTCGGTCTGGTCGACCACACCTGCGGGGCTGAACAAGAGCCAAGGGTCGAGATTATCGGGTTCGGAGGAAGGATTCGACATGTTGCAAGCGGCACCTTAGTTGGACAGCTGAAGAAGAAGGCGAACACACGTATGCGGGCGGGGGCCGGTGCAGGCAAGAGCAAGCCAATGAGGAGGGTTGAGAAACAAAAGGATCCTGGATCCTTCTCTGGTACTGACCAACACACCACAGAAAGAGCTCTCGAGGACGTATGAAAAGAGACTGGGAGGAGCGTTTAGCTGACGCTGAAGTGAAGCAGTATGAAAGGACCGAGGCCGGATGCAAACCGCCTGGAAAACGGGGGCTGGCGGCACAACAGGCCAGTCCCAACTGAGAGAGCTGCTCGTAGAGCTCGACTCGCTATCCATCCGCCGAGAGCTCACAGGCTCTCGGCTTGCACGACCCCTAAGGGGAGACCAATAGCACCTCGAACCTCTAGCACGGCACCCTTACAGGATTAGCGGAGGCTCAAAAGGGACAAAAATTTTCTCTCAGCCCGAGCTCGAGCAGCTGTGAACATGAACGGGCCAACTGTTGATTCAAGCATGCAGCAAGTCACATGGCTAAAAATAACGTTCATGATGCTGAGGAAAATTCGTTTAAAACTCGAAACACTTTCCGCAACTCAAAAAGGTCGCAAAAAGGATTATTAAAAACCCCGTGCTCGAAGGAAGAGCACTACAACTTTAGTTTGAGAGAGAAATGTCAGGCGAGCTGAAATTTTCCTTCTCCTCTAACCAAAACAACGTACCCAACACAAAGCCTCGACAACAGGCAACTAGGCCCGAGGCGAGATCTGCACCCGAATGTATCAAGCACTCTGAGCTCAGGGCCGCCAACATCGCAGACGCCACGATCCAACGGTATTACAGGTATCCTGATGTTAACCAGAACAACGTGAGTAAAAATGGTCTCTACAAGTGCTCGAACATATAAGGTTTGCCAGCATTCGGCCAAAGTCAAACCGATGCACTGTTTTCTCTTGCCCTTTCTGACAAGGTTTCGTCTATGGACAGTCACATCTGTCTCGAATTCACCAGTCATGGTGAGTACGGACCAGGCCTCCGGCCAGGCCTGACATGCCTCATGCGAATCGCTAACGATGGGAACTGAGGTGGAGGCATGGGCTCCCGGTTGTACATCCTGATCCCCGCGATCGTCAGGGACCACACCATCATGTCTGCATGAAGTCGGAATGACTCCTGAAGGTGCCTAAGTAAATCAAACTGCAGCTCAACCATGTGTCGCAAAGCGTGGATCGCCTGAAAGAGCTGTTCGACATCACAGCCAAGAACTGACGTTGATGTCTGTTGCTGACTCTGAAACGTCAAAAATGACTCGCGAGCCTTGCGAATGTCACCTTCCAAAGATGCAATGTGTTGTAAACATCGGCGAAGACGAGAATGATGTTCCATAATTTTCGTATCAATCTCCCACAAAGCAACTCTATCATATTCACAGAAGCTGAAAGGACGATCTGCATGAGTCTCCACAGTGGAGTCTTCCATGGGATGATTTTCGTCAATATGACGGGCTAACGAATCCCTGAGGGCAGTCATAAGTACCAACCCCCTGAAGCACTTCGAGCCTCAAAGAAAAACACGAGGTGCAAAACACGTGTCCCTGCTCCACATAAAAACTGCGGAAAGAAATGAGCAGCACTCAGGGCCAGGCTCATACTGTCTCCAGCTCATGGAAAAAGAGCATGGAAAGCTGATCGAAAACGTCTCACGAACGACTCCAGCCAAGATAAGCGTGCATCACTTTGTTGAACACGTGCTTCCAACACACGCAAGCGACTGGATATGTCTTCAAGGGCTCGACTGAGTTCACCAAGTTCATCTTGATGCCTTTCACACATAGCATGCACATCAACCACATGCCGATGCACCAAACTGACTGTGCCAGTCCCACTAGAGGACGGTGTCTGGGGCTCCGAAGCTGCACCATCTGCCATGGCTCAAGCTAACCCCCCCTTTTTCGAAAACAATCTATCAGCTTCTAAGAGCACTTTCCGGGCATCCTGCCCTCTGAGAGGTCCCGCTGCGACGGGTGTATAAGTAAATACAAATCCTGCATGAACAAGCATAAAACTGATCAAGCGTTGGAAATAAGTTGTGCAATAAAGCTCTATCTTCTCCAGGCATTCGAAGAACGATACGAAACAAAAGGTCGAAAACATCCGCACACTCAGCATCCAAAACAACGCCATGTTCCCGCAACTCAAGCTCATGTGTCGCTACGATTCCTTTTAGGGTCCTAATGGCTCGTTCTGCTGCTGGTGCATGCCTTTCGGGTGCAAAGCTGTCCTCAGTACCCTCACAAAGATCAGCGAGTCTCGCTGCGATGTTCTTCGTGAGTCCCTCTGCATCAGACATGAAATGCGGTTGTTTCACACCGAAGTGCCTGACCCAGGGATGCAAATGTTCTGCTGTTGTTGCTGCGCTCTCTCCCTCAGGTCTAAAGCAAACTGCAATTGCAAAGCTCATGGTATGAACCAGTACGATGAATGCAAGCTTGCGAAAGAAGCACTGGTCAAGCTGAAACTCTCTCGGGTTCAGGTCGCTACGCTTTCGTGCTGGAGTGGTCCCTCTAGTCCGCTGGCAAAACTCACAGTCAGACATGTATGGTACGTGTCCCTGCATGTGGTGCTGCAGCTCAGCGTGTTTACTACGCACATTGTCCCCAATAATTCCTTCTTCAGTGACTAACTCAAACTGTTGTTGTGGCTGTCGCGTATCGGGCTCTTTTCTTTCATCTTGGGACAAAGCTGCAAGGATTGGGTTGGGCTTCTCAGTACTCCCTTTCAGGGAGACGGGGAGCGAGAACGATCGCGCTCTTGGCGATCTCGGCGGCGCCTGATGAGTTCCATGAATGCAGGAGAGGGTGCGCCACTCCACGGAATTGGTGTCTCGGGAGTGCGCTCGGGTCGCGGAATCGGAGGTGGCGGAGGGATCGGGAGCGCCAACCTTGGCTTGGCGACCGCCCTCGCAGCCTGTATGTTCTCCGATCTTGCTCGGCGCCGGTCCTCGTATGCTTGGCCCGTGAGGATCCCTGTCTCGAGCTCCATGCGAAGGCTCATTGGGCTGAATGGCCTTTCTGCCGGTGCTACTGTTCCCGATGCTCCTGTTTCCATTGTCTCTGCCACCCTCATCACATTGCCGGACAGGTCGCTGGCGGCTTTCGAAGGTGTCAAGCTGACCGGCAGTTGGGCATGGTCCTTCGCCTGCATCCGCAGGAAGCTCTCCCTCAAAGGTCCGAGGGCTTGTAGCCCTTCTGAGGTGTGGCCTGGTGTGCTCAGATGCAGCTGCAGATACGGACCATGAAAGCCCAGGTTGGAAAGTGATTCCCGCCAGGGAGGTGTCACTCGGAGAGCGCTCTTTGCATGCCTGGGCTCGGGGCCCCGGCGGTGCTCCGTGTACACTGCTGTCGGGCCGACCGGTTCCCCCGGCGGCTGCATCATGGAGATAGGGGGATGCTTCGGATGTGCTGGGGTCGTTGGAGCTGGAACCCCTGTGGTTGGCCTCCATTCTCCCCAATCCTCGTCGGATTCGTCTACCTCCACCACCATTGTCGATGGTCCTGGCCCTGAGCTCGCCGGTGCTGCCGCGGTCGTTTCCTTCGGGTTCGGCTGAGGAAACTCGCCCGAAATGCCGGTCGGTCCCAGCGTAACCACTGACCGAGCCTTGCCCTCCGTTACTCCAATCTCCAGCTGCTCTGGCTCGGCAAGCGCTTGCTCCCATGTGGTCCAATCCACCGGGTTCTGCGTCACGTGGAGGCCCTCCTTGGAGATGGTCTGCGTGAAGCCCTGCATGTTGGCTTCGTGTGGCTCGCTCATCAAGTGGGCTTCGGTGACATATTTCTGGCACAGGAGACAAAACAGCGTCACCGGCGTATCCGGTGAGTCGCTGGCTCCCGAAGCTTGTGCCGTCCAAGCTCCTCCGAACCGACGAGCAACCCACGTCGTCCAGCCCGCCGACGCCCAGCGCCGTTTTCCTCTCCGTGCTGGCGCTGACGATGCCGGCGGGGGGCCGGAGGGCTCCCGAGGATCGACTCCCATGGTCGATTGATCCACATGGTCCGGCAGCAAGTTCCGCACCGGTCTCACGGCCATGGTTTTCTCCTTGGATTTGATCTTCGGCGTCGGCTTCATCTGCACCATAGCGGGTCTCTTGGCTGGAGCCTCTGACATCGAAGGATCCGCTTGGAATTCCCTCACCCCGGTGTGGGACGACGGTGCTTCCGCCGCTTCCGTCTCTTCCAAAGTACTCTACCGAAGGAGATGAGGTCGAAGGGTCCAGCCTTGCCGAATCCAGGTCCAGATCCATCTCGTTCCCTCCAGTGGGCTCCGCCTCGGCATACGACGCCTGGAGCTCCTCTTGGACCGCCTGTGGTAGCTCTATGCCGTGCTGCGCGGCGTTGGCTTCCAACAATATCAGTCTCCTGCGTCTCGCCCCCTGGCGCATGCCTTCCAATTGTTGAATGCTCCGTTGCATCGTGGCACTCGGATCCATAGCGGCGGTCTCCTATCTGTCCTGCTCTAGGAAAACTTCGCCTCTTTGAGCAATCCAAGCTGCCAGTCTCAACCTCATCAGGGAAATCCTCCAAGCAAGCACGACAGACAACTGTTTCTCTACCATGCTCATGCACAGGACGCTCAACTGCTGGTGTGGTACTGTTGTCCTGTTGCTTGTGTGAGATAACGCTGCTGTCATTTTCAAAAACAAGCCGCTCGACTGCTGGTGTGGTGCTGTTGTCCTGTTGCTTGTGTGAGATAACGATGCTGTCATTTCCGAATACAAGCCACTCGACTGCTGGTGTGGTGCTGTTGTCCTGTTGCTTGTGTGAGATAACGCTGTTGTCTTCACTAAAAATCAAGCGCTCATCCCTATCAAGCTCACGAACAACTGGCGTATCCACATGACTGAAAAATTGAAGTTGATCCCTCGCAGAGCCGGAAACGTCACCGACTGTCCTTAGTCTGTCCTTAGTCTGTCCTTAGCTTCGCCTTGGTCCAGGTCAACATGTTCGTGGCTCGTCT